CAAGTTTTCCGCACACTTGATAGTATTGATGAATAAGTAAAGTTGTTCCAACTCCAAGGGTCAACCCAAATCAGCTAAAAAATAGACATGGCAATAGACATAGACAATAGACATGGCAATATTTCCAAATGGTGATCACCAGGGATGTCTAGCCCTATGACCTGCGCGAGGACCCAAGGGGACAAACAGAAGGTAGGTTCAACGTTGAAAGTAAAAGTTCATACAATCCATGATATCACCCAGAGTAGTTACTATAAAGAGAATTTTTAGTGTATATTGTTATAGAAAAATAATTTGATAAAAGTGGAGGATGTCAAAAAGAATGAAGTGGAGCAATAGCTACAATGCAGTATTAGACTGAGTTATAAATTGTGCTGCTGGAGACTGCAAGTACATAAAGTAAAAGTAAAGCACCAAAGTCGCAGGAACCAATCCAGAAAGAGAAAAATGTACATGTAGGTCCACCAAAGAACAGATCACCAAATCCCCAGAGCAGTGTAAGAAATTAGAATACACAGGCACCAAACACCAAAACCAGAAACCACCATGAGTCTTTGATATTGGAGCTAGAAAACCAAATTGTTACTTCAAAGTGTCCTAGTGGACAAAATCATCACCACCTTTCTCTACTATTTATCCCCAAGGGCTCACCACTGGTCCCTCCCAACACCATGTGGGTTCAACCAATAGGGGTAGGTGCTCAGCACAAACTGCAAACCACTGCCATGTGTGTGAGACTGCACTGTGAGCGCAATGAAGCTGCAACAACGTGACGTAATGCACACCAGTGTGATGACGTTGCGCAAGCACTGACAATACATTCTGGGCGTAGACATTGCACCAACACCACACAGACCCCTCTCATCCCAAATGAGCAGGCATACATAATGAGCTCTGAAGAACCAAGTTGCAGTTCCTGCCACCACAACCATTGGTTAGAAAAAGTAGCATAAGTTGGCTTTGGTGGGCAGTAAGCAGTAGGGATGTGTTTGGTCTGAACATAAATGTAAAATGTTTAGGGTGTTTTCAGCATGGACAAATGTGACTGCTTCTGACTGTTAATGGCTGCTAAAGAAGTGGTTACTTGCACCCTGTACGCCCTTAACGACCACAGATGTTACCCAGCCCATTTGCTTACATCGCTGAAGATCCCTAGTCAAGTAAGCAAGGTGGGGAATCTTTAGGTTATTTCTTAGACAATCCACAGTCCTGAGTTTTAGGAGATTGATGAGCAATGCCTTTCCTGGGTGGAATACTCAAGATCAAAGGAATTGAGTTGGATGGTCTCTCAAAAACAGCAGGGGGGGATAATCAAGACTTTGGGCCTCCACTGTTGTTTCTTTGCTATTTGAGCTTTGGAGCTGGCTATTGAAGGCAGGCAACCAGTTTGCTTCTTCTGCTGGGGCTTTCTGAAGTTTTCCACCAGCTTGGCAGATAACAGCTTTCACAGCACCTCCAAAGCTTCCTCTGCAGCTTCAGGCGGAGTTCTTCTACTTGAGCATTTGAAGTGTCCAGCCTCCTACAGCTGTAACAACTCTTTCCAGAATGGAACAGCGCTGTACCCGACTCAGCATCCTCTGACACCTTTCTTTCTGAGGCCAAAGTTATCACTGCCTCCTGTATGTCATTGAGGGATTTCTGAAAATTCACAGGGTCTCCACCACTTCCAAATACATCTCAAGTTGAACCTTTACTACCTAAGCCAGTAAATTCCTCATTGCTGGATCAAACAGCACCTTTTGATGTAGTCTTCCATTGTAGCTCAACACCTGTGCTCTGATGAAGAAGGCTTTGCCCTTGAAACGTGTAAGTCTTGCTCCTAGCCTTTGGGCATTGCTGGATTATTGTCATCGGATTGGATATTTGATTTACTGATGTGAGTATATCAGAATTATTTTATACAATAAAGTGTGTTTCGGTAATGAACAAAGCCACTGTGCCTTCTATTTTTGTTATAGCTCTGATACTAACTAATTTTCATCATCTTCCGAGAAGTACCCTCCCACCTGAGCAGAAAATGTGATAACCTTCTTTTTCTTGAGAATTTGCTTTGGCTCAGTGCTTGAATCTTGATTCTTCTACAGCAAAGCTTCTTCCTCCCTGACTTCTTTCACCAACTCTGGATAGGTGCGACTGTTTCCGGAGCCATTTATGAGAAACTTTAGGGCAGTGGGATGGGATGGACAGACTCCCTGTAGAATATGGTCAAACTGGACTCTGTAAGCATTTTCTGGGTCTATCCCTTTCTTCTGGATGATCTGGTGCAGCATCTTATCCACTTTGACATTTTTTTGAAACCGAGAAAGAGCTCATGTTAAAGCACAACTCTGGTCAATTTTTTTTTTGTGCCTCACTGCATTGATCAGCTGCTCGTTTTTTCTAGGGATGAGGACAAAGCTCATACTCACATGGCCCGCCGGTCCTCCAGAAAACTGTGCTCCCCCGCGGTCCAATGGTCGACTGCTCCTGTCTATGAAGCATGCATTGAGCATGCTGACGTCAGGGACAGTCCGGTTGGGCAGGAACCAAAGAGACTGGTGGTCTTGTGCGGGAAGGATTGGTGTTTCAGGTAAGTATATCTCCACTGTCCTCTCCCCTAGAACAGAACGAGCAGTTAACCCGTGCAGTGCTGGCACAGTCCCACCTTACAGTCAAAAAAAAAATTGCCTGGAATTCTGCTTTAAGGCTCAGATCCAGCATTGGACCTCTCAAGTAAAGTTCCTCCTAACCCAGGCATAGACGCCTTTACTGCGTCCCAAGCAGAAATTACTGTTCCTCTTTAATACAGGGTAGAGGGATTTGGCCAGTGGCCTTTCACCAACTCTTGGGGTGAAAGCTGGTCTCCCTCTGTTCTCCTTCAGCCACGTCAGCGGCAGTGGCATTCTCCGCAACGATCAGGCGGCCATGCCAGTCAGTGACAGTGGCATTCTCCCCAACGATCAGATGACTGCACCAGTCAGTGGCATTCTCCCCAATGATCAGGCGACCATGCCAGTCAGTGACAGTGGCATTCTCCGCAACGATCAGGCGGCCATGCCAGTCAGTGACAGTGGCATTCTCCCCAATGATCAGGCGACCACGCCAGTCAGTGACAGTGGCATTCTCCCCAACGATCAGGTGGCCATGCCAGTCAGTGACAGTGGCATTCTTCCCAACGATCAGGTGACCCGCACCAGTCAGTGGCATTCTCCACAACGATCAGGCAGCCATGCCAGTCAGTGAAAGTGGCATTTTCCCCAACGATCAGGTGACCGCACCAGTCAGTGGCATTCTCCACAATGATCAGGCAGCCATGCCAGTCAGTGACAGTGGCATTTTCCCCAACGATCAGGTGACCATGCCAGTCAGTGACAGTGGCATTCTCCCCAATGATCAGGTGACTGCACCAGTCAATGGCAGTGGCATTCTCCCCAATGATCAGCCGACCACACCAGTCAGTGAAATGCTCCCCAACCATCAGGTGACCACGCCAGTCAGTGATAGTGGCATTCTCCCCAATGATCAGGCGACCAGGCCAGTCAATGACAGTGGTATTCTCCCCAACAATCAGGTGACCGCACCAGTCAGCGGCAGTGGCATTCTCCCCAATGATCAGAGAGTGGCACCAACCAGCAACAGTGGCATTCTCATGTACCAGCAGGATACTCCGCCTCTCTATGTCCCTGGTGCAGTGGTAAAACAGCCTACTGCATGGTCTGTCTCCCACAGTGTCCTCATAACATCTGCCTTGAACCCACACAGACCTTTTTTTCTCTCCATGGAGCCCCAGTCATGCTGGGATTTGTAGTTCCATAGCCAATCTGACACAAAAGCTCAGTCTATCTGGGGACTACATCTCCCACAAGTCTCATTTCCTTCCAGCAGGCTCTTGTCACTCCCAGGATGCACAGCAGTAAACATCCCCTTCCTCTGTGTACTCTTTAGGACAACCACAATCCATCCAACATACATATTGGCTCACCCAAAATGGCCATACCCAGGACTGAAGACACTCTATAGCCGAGCATTGCTAATGATCTTCATCAAAATGGCCAGCACTGCAAACAACTAATTGAACCCTGTGTTACAGGTAAGGAGCAAAGCTTCCAAATGGGAAAAAATGTTTGTAACTCTAGCAGACCTGGCTACATTTGAATTAAAGTTTTTGTGCCTGGAGTTTATTTATTTCAGGTGCTTATATAGCGCCGTCAATTTACTCAGCGCTTTACATATATATTGCACATTCACATCAGTCCCTAACCCTCAAGGAGTGTACAATCTAAAGTCCCTAACTCACATTCATACATACACATGCTAGGGACAATCTAGACAGGATCCAATTCATGCCAGCATGTCTTTGGAGTGTGCAAGTGTTGTAGCAATTTTTGGAAATTCAGGTAAAACTCCGGACGCGGACTTCTTGAGGAAAACAAGTTTATTGAAAACAGCGCTGTTTTGACCCAGCAGATGGCCCATGCTGCTCTCATCTACGAAGCTGCAAAATTACAAAATGAAGCTGTTAACAGCTGGAGGGAGCTTCCTTCTGCTTAAATGCTGAAACCACCAAGGGCCACAAAAAGCGAACGAAAGGGTTGTAAGTGGCCAAAAAACAAAAATTGTGCATGGCTTTTCTACAGAGGATATTGTGTGTGCTCAGATTTTCCTTTGGGCTCGGTTCACACAACTCTGAACCGAAAGTCACGCGGCTTGCAGCGTCAACACCAAGTCAGAGTGACTTCAGTAGTGCTAATAAAGATGGATCTTGTTGACTAAGGCTAGGTTCACATCTATGCAGTTTGCGTTTGATTCATTTCTGCAGTGCTGTTTGCGGTGCGATTTGTATGCTTTTTTTTGTTGTTGCTGGGCAGATTAAAACGCAAAATTCATTAAAAACACATCAAAAGTGCACTACATGCATTTCTGCAGCATCTCCATTGAAGTCTATTGAACCAAAAATGCAACGTTTTGCATCTTAAAAAGTTCCTGGCCCTTTCCAAAAAACGCAGCGGGTTAAAACGCGGAGATGTGACCCTGTCCCATGGGAAATCATGTTAAATGGACTGTACTACATTTCTGCAAAATGCTATGGAAAACGTATAGGTGTGAACCTAGGATTTCACACGCCACGTGACCAAGGGCGGACTGACAACTCATGGGGCCCCCGGACAATAGGGGATCATGGGACCCCTGTGTCCTTGCCCAAACTCAAAAAAGCCAATGAAAAGGTACCAGGGGCATCTCAAGGGGCCCCCTACTGACCCCGGGCCCTCGGGCAGTGCCCGAGTTTCCAAATGGTCAGTCCGCCCCTGCACGTGACTTAGGGTTGGATTCAAACCGAGCCTGAGCCTCCATGTACACTGCAGCTGATAAACTGACGTTTAGGATCTTTTCTGCATTTTTTTCAGCAGCCCCTGAACTCTTCCTAATGTTTTCCTATGTGTCCATGTACACATCGTTGTATACAGTCGTTTACAGGCAATTGAGTTTACAGTCGTTTTTTTTTGAAAGCACCCAACTTGATTTCAGAAGCAGATTTTATCAGAGTTTCAAACGCCAAACACTTGTAAACGTGGCTAATTGCACTTATAAGCGTTTGCATTTGGAAATGTTTTTTAACTCTTCCATTTCCAGATGCTGTCCAGAGCTTTTTTTCATCATGAAAAATGCATGCAAAGCGTTTTCCCGGTGCTCAAACGGACCCGGTACACCGTACTTTGAGGTTTCACATGAAAGAAAATATGTTAGACACCGCTGCAATAATTTCTGCACAGAAATGAGCCGGAACACATCCAAACACCACAAAAAAAAAGACAGCTAATCTCAACACATACTGCTCTCCCTGCTTCTGCTCTCTCTATTTCTCTCAAAAGGTCTGAAATAGTTAATTTTTTACTGTTTTTCAGTGCATTCTGGGCATTTTGGAAGGTTATTTTAAAAAAAAAAACGCTTCTAAATCCAAAGGCTCATAAACGCGGTATGCAAACCTGGCTAAACTGAAGTTTTTTAACCTACGTTTTCCAGCAGTAAGTTTCTATTGTTCAGAAGTGTCCTGTGTACATGGGGCCTAACAGTCCTGTTCTTGTACTGCAAATGCATGCAACATTACACTCTCTGGCACTCAAGTAGCCTCAAATCCACATCCAAGTCGCATTCAAGTTGCACCCATCTCAAGTTTCAAAGTCGCACCCATCCAAAGTCACATCCAAGTCGCACCCATCCAAAGTCACATCCAAGTCGCTTCCCATCCAAAGCCACATCCAAGTCGCCCCCATCTCAAGTTGCAGAGTCGCACCCATCCAAAGTCACATCCAAGTCGCCCCCATCTCAAGTTGCAAAGTCGCACCCATCCAAAGTCACATCCAAGTCGCACCCATCTCAAGTTGCAGAGTCGCACCCATCCAAAGTCACATCCAAGTCGCACCCATCTCAAGTTGCAAAGTCGCACCCATCCAAAGTCACATCCAAATCTCACCCATCTCAAGTTGCATTACAGTTGAACCCATCCTAAGTCACATCAAAGGTGAACCCATCCAAAGTTGCATCAATGTGGCATCAAAGTCAATATTTTGATTTTGATTTTTTAAAATTTTTTTACTGGACATGTTTAATAGCAAAAAGTCAAAAATATAGTTTTTTCTCTTAAAATTGATGTTTGTTTCTGTTTATAGCACCAAAAATAAAAACCGCACAAGCAATCAGATACCACCAAAAGAAACTCTATTTGTGGGGGGAAAAATTACGTAAATTTCATTTGGGTGCAGTGTTGCATGACCTCGCAATTGTCAGCTAAATAACGCAGCGCCGTATCGCAAAAAATGGCCTGGTCAGGAAGGGGGGGGGGAATCCTCTGGAGGGCAAGTGGGTAAAGAGTAACTCTTAATAGTTCATGGCAAACAGTGAGTTTTCGCCTTGTTATTGAAGTGATAAATGATTAGTAACATTGATGTAGGGGACACACAGCTATGATGAGAAGTCACACCAATGATACAAGTGTAAAATCCACCTCCCCAGGACCAAGAGCTGATAATGACATGCAGTAGGAGCTGGTGCCTCATATGTAAGCTCAAACCAGACTCTGAATCCACATTCAGCCCCTTCCAGACACCTGCAGAAGGGGGCCCTGGCCGGCAGTTGATTGGTTTGCTAATGATGCTCATTGTCAGTAATTACTCCTCAGTCCCACTGTGGTCAGTATTATCCATAATAAAGGCCAGAACCTCCTGTCCCTGAGGGGTGAGAAGAAAAGACACATGGAGGGGAAGTGATGGACCCAACACCATTATCTTTATTCATGGGGATGGTGATCAGTTACCAGAGTCATCACAGGTAGCCAGGACACAGGTGACCTGCCTGTGGTTATCAAGGTGTTAGGTGACAGATTAAACTCACATCTGTATGTTCCTGGCTAATATCCTGACACATTATCACCTGCATTGGAATTTGTCCAAAGCTGTCCATATTTACTTGAACAAAGAACGAGGGTGAGAATACTCAAGCACCAAAAAGCCAAGAGAAGGACTAGTTACCTATACTTTTGCATAGAATATTGAATAAGTTGTTTGTGCACTCCTGAAATGGAGATAAGGCAACATCATCATCTTCATATTTCCAAAAAATTGCCAGTAATATATATACATATCAAGGGGAGATTGCCATATACAATATATATATATCAAGGGGAGATTGCCATATACAATATATATATATCAAGGGGAGATTGCCATATACAATATATATATATCAAGGGAGAAACACCATATACAATATATACATATCAAGGGGAGAACGCTATATACAATATATACATATCAAGGGGAGAACGCCATATACAATATATACATATCAAGGGGAGAACGCCATATACAATATATACATATCAAGGGGAGAACGCCATATACAATATATACATATCAAGGGGAGAACGCTATATACAATATATACATATCAAGGGGAGAACGCTATATACAATATATACATATCAAGGGGAGAACGCTATATACAATATATACATATCAAGGGGAGATCGCTATATACAATATATACATATCAAGGGGAGAACGCCATATACAATATATACATATCAAGGGGAGAACGCCATATACAATATATACATATCAAGGGGAGAACGCCATATACAATATATACATATCAAGGGGAGAACGCTATATACAATATATACATATCAAGGGGAGAACGCCATATACAATATATACATATCAAGGGGAGAACGCCATATACAATATATACATATCAAGGGGAGAACGCTATATACAATATATACATATCAAGGGGAGAACGCTATATACAATATATATACATATCAAGGGGAGAACACCATATACTGTATATACATATCAAGGGGAGAACGCTATATACAATATATACATATCAAGGGGAGATCGCTATATACAATATATACATATCAAGGGGAGAACGCCATATACAATAAATACATATCAAGGGGAGATCGCTATATACAATATATACATATCAAGGGGAGAACGCCATATACAATAAATACATATCAAGGGGAGATCGCTATATACAATATATACATATCAAGGGGAGATCGCTATATACAATATATACATATCAAGGGGAGAACACCATATACAATATATACATATCAAGGGGAGATTGCCATATACAATATATACATATCAAGGGGAGATTGCCATATACAATATATACATATCAAGGGGAGAGAACGCCATATACAATATATACATATCAAGGGGAGAACGCTATATACAATATATACATATCAAGGGGAGATCGCTATATACAATATATACATATCAAGGGGAGATCGCTATATACAATATATACATATCAAGTGGAGAACGCCATATACTGTATATATATATCAGGGGAGATCGCCATATACTGTAGTATCATTCTTTCATACGAATGGACGGTCAAAATGGTGTCTCCACAAAGATGTTATACCGAAAGGATGAAGAAAAGTAATAATAAGTCAAATATCTCAGTCTCATTGTATGAAGGATTATGCAAGCCTAGCAAAATATATATAAACCACTAAAATTGTGTGGTGTGGTTATCCTTTTCTAATAGGGGTAATTTTAGTCCCTATTTGCAGTGTTTCCATTGCTTCAAAATTCCCTTTCTAGATACACTATATTGCCAAAAGTATTGGGCCGCCTGCACATGAACTTTAATGGCCTCCCAGTCTTAGTCTGTAGGGTTCAATATTGAGTTGGCCCCGCCCTTTGCAGCTATAACAGCTTCAACTCTTCTGGGAAGGCCGTCCACAAGGTTTAGGAGGGTGTCTATGGGAAGGTTGGACCATTCTTCTAGAAGCACATTTGTCAGGTCAGGCACTGATGTCGGACGAGAAGGCCTGGCTCACAGTCTCCACTCTGATTCATCCCAAAGGTGTTCTGTCGGGTTGAGGTCAGGACTCTGTGCAGGCCAGTCAAGTTCCTCCACCCCAAACTCGCTTACCCATGTCTTTATGGACCTTGCTTTGTGCACTGGTCCGCAGTCATGTTGGAACAGGAAGGGACCATCCCCAAACTCTTCCCACAAAGTTGGGAGCATTAAATTGTCCATACTTATGCCTTAAGAGTTCAATTCACTGGAACTAAGGAACCAAGCCCAACCCCTGAAAAACAAACCCCACACCATAATTCCCCCTCCACCAAACTTTACACTTGGCACAATGTAGTCAGGCAAGTACCGTTCTGGAGTTGCCAAACCCAGACATGTCCATTGGATTGCCAAGACACAGAAGCGTGATTGGTCACTCCAGAGAACACGAATCCACTGCTCAAGAGTCCAGTGGTGGCGTGCTTTACACCACAACATCCAACGCTTTGCATTGCACTTGGTGATGTAAGGCTTGGATGCAGCTGCTCGGCCATGGAAACCCATCCCATGAAGCTCTCTACGCACTGTTGTTGTGCTAATGTGAAGGCCACATGAAGTTTTGAGGTCCTTAGCTATTGACTCTGCAGACAGTTGGTGACTTCTGCGCACTGTGTACTTCAGCATGCACTTACTTTTACATGGCCTACCACTTGGTGGCTGAGTTGCTGTTGTACCCAGTTGCTTCCACTTTGTTATAATCCCACTAACAGTTGACCGTGGAATATTTAGTAGCCAAGAAATGTCACGGATGGACTTATTGCACAGGTGACCACCTATCACGGGACCACGCTTGGAGTCACTGAGCTCCTGTGAGCGACCTATTCTTTCACAAATGTTTGTAGAAGCAGTCTGCATGCCTAGGGGCTTGGTTTTATACACCTGTGGCCATGGAGGTGATTGGAACACCTGAATCCAGTGATTTGGAGGGCAGGGGCAATACTTTTGGTAATATAGTGTATCTAGTAATGTGCACTGAAGCTAAAAGGGAAGGGGGAAATGGTCTTTATCATTTACAATAGGCTTGCATTAACCCAATAAATTACCTATTCAGCAGTTGGATATTTTTCAAGAATTGGAAATGAGTAGGTGTGGTGTTGGTCTCCATCCCATAACCATGTGTGTGCCCAAAATAAAAGTGCCAAAACAGGTGCAAAGAGAGCTGTCCATAGACATCATAGAGCACCTTCGGGTCAAGCCTATGGAGTGTCTTTCTTCAACAGACATTGGAAGAGCCACCCACTGGGAAGGGGGTAGAGCCAGATCTCTAGTACTGAGCAACAGCCACATCAGTTCAGCAGGGGCCCATGAGCAGAGAAAGTGACTCTTAAAATACATTTCGGTGCATACACAATTATCCCAGGGGCCAGGGCTCCCAACAATTGAATAAAAATTCCCCGGGCCCCAACAGAGCCTTGGGGGACAAGCTGCACATGTTCAGTTTGGCGTGTATTGCTACAGAGGTTTTTTTTCTTGGAAGAGTGCATGTGATCAGCACAGGGCCAATCAGCACATTCCAAACAGAGGGTCAGGGGTCCTGCAGCCTCATAGGACAGTCAGAGGAGAATGAAAACTCCTACAAGATTAACCAATGCTCTGCTGGACACTGATAGAAGTCACATGGCTACTATATACTGCTGATGAGAAAAGGTATTTAGCAATTTATATTTATTAAAATAATTGCATTTCCATGTTGTGTGTACTGTGAGAGGCCAGATATAGTAAATGCAGGGTCCAGGAAGAGTGGATATAGTGAATGCAGGGTCTGGGGAGACCGTGTAGACTGAATGCAGGGTCCGGGGAGACCAGATATAGTGAATGCAGAGTCTAAGGAGACCAGATATAGTGAATGCAGGGTCCAGGGAGACCAGATATAGGGAATGCAGGGTCCGGGGAGACCGGATATAGTGAATGCAGGGTCCGGGGAGACCGGATATAGTGAATGCAGAGACTAAGGAGACCAGATATAGTGAATGCAGGGTCCGGAGACCGGATATAGTGAATGCAGGGTCCGGGGAGAGCAAATATAGTGAATGCAGGGTCCGGGGAGACCAGATATAGGGAATGCAGGGTCCGGGGAGACCAGATATAGGGAATGCAGGGTCCGGGGAGACCAGATATAGTGAATGCAGGGTCCGGGGAGACCAGATATAGTGAATGCAGGGTCTGGGGAGACCAGATATAGTGAATGCAGGGTCCAGGGAGACCAGATATAGTGAATGCAGGGTCCGGGAGACCAGATATAGTGAATGCAGGGTCCGGAGACCGGATATAGTGAATGCAGGGTCCAGGGAGACCGGATATAGTGAATGCAGGGTTCGGAGACCGGATATAGTGAATGCAGGGTCCAGGGAGACCAGATATAGGGAATGCAGGGTCCGGAGACACCAGATATAGTGAATGCAGGGTCCGGGGAGACCGGATGTAGTGAATGCAGGGTCCGGAGAGACCGGATATAGTGAATGTGGGGTCCGGGGAGACCAGATATAGGGAATGCAGGGTCTGGAGACCGGATATAGTGAATGCAGGGTCCGGAGAGACCGGATATAGTGAATGTGGGGTCCGGGGAGACCAGATATAGGGAATGCAGGGTCCAGGGAGACCAGATATAGTGAATGCAGGGTCCGGGAAAACTGGATATAGTGAATGCAGGGTCCAGGGAGACCAGATATAGTGAATGCAGGGTCCAGGGAGACCAGATATAGTGAATGCAGGGTCCGGGGAGACCAGATATAGTGAATGCAGTGTCCGGGGAGACCAGATATAGTCAATGCAGGGTCCGGGGAGACCAGATATAGTGAATGCAGTGTCCGGGGAGACCAGATATAGTCAATGCAGGGTCCGGGGAGACCAGATATAGTCAATGCAGGGTCCTGGGTTTAGCAACCCTTAAAGCATTAAATGAAAGAGTTCTACCTAGCAGTAAAATACATGTGCATGGGAAAAGAACCGAGTGAACAACCCATTCATATTCACATTCATATTCATCGGACAATTCAGAGACAGACCTCCAGCTGTCTGGTCTCCAAAGGTTCCCAAGGTAATGGTAGATCAAAGAGATCTGATTGCTTAGGTGTCTCCGGAAATAATCGAGAATAAACTCAAGAGGGTCTAGCTGTTCTCCCACTTGCATCACAGTATACACATGAATACCTGGACGACTCCCAAACATGTTTATGCCAACATCCAAGGCTGCCATTTAAAGTCATGGGGCCCAATACTGCCTGTGTGATAGGGCTCCACCTCCATACAGGGAAGGGACTGTAAATACCTTATTGCACACATTCAGTAATACTACGAGAAGCAGGGATTTTGTTTCTCAGAGAACAGATGCAGGAACTCCCCCCTTCTGAATCACTTCTTGTATCTTCCCCCCTACCCACCTCCAAAGCACAGTCCCTTGGTTCCACCCCCTACCCACCTCCCAGTACCGCTCCTTATAGATATTATACAGCCATGTATAATTTTGTGGTGATAAGTAATTTGTATAGATTTTGTTAATAATAACAAGAAAAGCAATAAAATAGAACCCCTGCAGCCAGCAGCAATAGGCCCCCCAAGCAACAAAATACCACCCTAACAACAACAGACCCCAGCAGCAACAAATCTCCCTGCAGCCATCATCAACACACTATCCAGCAGCCAGTAACAATAGGCCCTTCCTCAACAGTAGATCCATTCCAGCAACAATAGATCTCCCACTAGCCATAATAGACCTCCCCAGCAACAATAGATCCCCTCCAGTGAGAAAAGATCCCTCAGCAGCCAGCAATCAACAGGGGCGGACTGACCATTTGGAAACTCGGGCACTGTCCGAGGGCCCGGGGTCAGTAGGGGGCCCCATGAGATGCCCCTGGTACCTTTTTCATAGGCTTTTTTGATTTTGGGCAAGGACACAGGGGCTCCATGATCCCCTATTGCCCGGGGGCCCCATGAGTTGTCAGTCCGCCCCTGCCAGTACCTCTTGCCATTACATACATTCAGTGTTGGGGGTGCCAGAACTGCGTTCCCACAGAAAAAAAGCCCTGACAAGCAGAATTTAAATAAACTTCCCCGGGCCCCATCAGATCAGCAGCAGGGTTTGGGGATAGAGATTGAACTATTTACTCATTTTTGGGAGCAATTCTCCATGATTCAGCTCCGAACAGTTAAAGTGGTTGTAGAACCACAGCAGCAGTGCCCCCCATCCCCCTCCATACTTACTTGAGCCCAGGGGCGGACTGAAAACTCATGGGGCCCCTGGGCAATAGGGGATCATGGGGCCCCTGTGTCCTTGCCCAAACTCAAAAAAGCCTATGAAAAAGGTACCAGGGGCATCTCATGGGGCCCCCTACTGACCCCGGGCCCTCGGGCAGTGCCCGAGTTTCCAAATGGTCAGTCCACCCCTGCTTGAGCCCCATCGCGATCCATCGATGTGCGCAACAGCTTTGGCTGTCTTGGGTCTCCGCCTCCTTATTGGCTGAGACAGAAAGTGCTGTCAATCATAGCCAGTCAGCCAATGAGGCAGGTCCACGAGACTATGGGACCATTCACAAGGAGCAGCTACATTTACCTATCAAAATACAAACCAGATCTAACTATCTACACCTTGCACCTCTTTAGGAGGGCGCTACTCTTCCATTGAATGAGAAGTGACCCTTGTGCTGGGGGCTGCTATGTGGTTCTAAAGGCTGAAGGTCTGAAGGCACAGAATGCATGAAGGTTAAAAACTCTTCAGTATGCAGCTCCCTCCTCAGCCTTTCCTAATAGTGATCGCGATCCAGCGCTGTGCATGAGAACCACGGCTCTCCGAGGTCTCTCTCTCTTCTCATTGGCTGAGACACAGTGGCAGGAGCTATTGGCTGCTGCTATTGTCAATCACAGCCAGTGAGGAGGGGGCAGGACCAAGCCATGTTCTGTATGACTTGTGGACATACAGGGCTAGCTAAGGAATGGTCCCATAGTCTCGTGGACAAGAGGAACTTTACTATCCTTCAGATTTTTCTCCCCTCTTATATAAGTAAATAAATCTAATGGCGCCTATGGAGAGAGTAAAAATGTGGGTCACTAACTGATATACCAGCGGGGCTTGATTGATGTGACGTCATTACGTTTCCCAGCGATCTACTGCGCATGTGCCGAGTGGCTGGGTTCGTTTCATTGTGATTCCTATATGCTGTTAACGCTGGTGTCGGCTGGGACACCCTTTGAGGTAAGTGCAATGAGTGCATAATAAATGAAGCTGTTTTTTAAAAATACTGCAGCATGAAGTTCTTGTTATTTCTTCCGAGTGTCTGGTATTACCCCTTTTGGATACGAATAAAGTGATCTCTTGGAGAAGTGGATTTCCTCAGTGGTATTTAATTATAAAGCATTGCTTCATTGAAATTGGTCTGCTTGGAGCTGGGTTCTGCAGAATATTACTCCCTGAAGACACATCCATGAATGGTTCATTACTCTGCTAATACCATCGCCCCCAGAGCAATAAATGCTTCAGTTTTTCATAGCTCTGGTGAGTTTATTTAGTGCTTTTGGTGGTGGATTGTCACATTTTTTGTGCACTTTTCTTCGGATTTGTACTATCTTAATTTGGACTGTTTTTTGGACACTTTTATATATTAAAAAAAAAAAATTTTTTCAATCATGTATTTATAATTGCTATACACATTGATAATATTTTTATATTTTCTTTGCTCACAGGTATAATTGTAATATTTATTTACTAGCGCAAATTATTTTTGTGTTGTTTTCTCCCCTCTTACCTGTAGTACTGGTAGTCTTCCAAAAAAAAAAACATAATCATAGTCACAATGAATCCAGAATTTTATCAATAAACCTATCATTTACTTTATTACAGAACTCTTAAAAAAATATTAATAATTACACTAGCATACAACGGTATTTTCCATCTGGAATATTAAATGGTTAGCACGTCCGCCTGGCAGTACTAGGGTCTTTGTTTTGGATCCCAACCATGGCACCACCTGCCTGGTGTTTGCATGTTCTCTCTGTGCCTGCGTGGGTTTCCTCCGGGTATTCCGGTTTCCTCTCACACTCCAAAGATATGCTGGTAGGTGAATTGGCTCCTGTCTAAATTGCCCCTAGTATGTGTATGTATGAATGTGAGTTAGGAACCTTAGATTGTACACCCCTTGAGGGTTAGGGACTGATGTGAATGTACAATATATATGTATTGTGTAAATTGATGGCGCTATATAAGTACCTGAAATAAATAAAAATAAAGTTGTGTGTGTAAATAAGGGCATGGGGCTCATGATTAGATTAGATGCCCCTTGATGGTTAGGGACTGATGTGAATGTACAGTATATATACGTAAAGCGCTGAGTAAATTGCCGGCGCTATACAAGTACCTATAATAAATAAATAAATAAAATATGAAATAAATAAATCAAATTTAAAATAAAAACAAAAGTTAACAAAACGTTAAACGCTAAACAAAAGTTAAAAAAAAAAAAAAAAAGGTAATACTAAATAAAAGTTAAAAATAAATAAAAAAAATCAAAGTAAAAAAAGGTTAATGCTAAATAAAAGTTAAATAAAAATTTGTAAAGTTTACAATACACAAAATAAAAAACTAAATAATTAAAGGTTAAAAAGAAAAGTTAAAAGCGAACACTAAATAAAAAGTGAATCAATTAAATTAATAAAGGAAAATAAAAATAAATCTTGCGGAAAGAAAGAACTAAAACCAGGCTACATATTATGGCTCATCTTCTTGCATTTCACTGATCCTTCCCAAGCAAAATCATTCCTGTGAATAAACGATATTCCCTTTTAAAATGCATGCCCATTCACAGATCAAAGTGCTGTCATCACCATTGTAAACACTGGAGGCTGTAAAATTAATACATCGCCCCAGTCCCCTGCCTGGATTCCCAATGACACTCAGAAGCATCTGGCATCCCCAGAGTGAATGATAAGTCTCAGGGTATTGTCATAGGTGTGAAGAGCCAGGCACATTGTGCTCAGATCACAGGCTGGGATACAGGAGGGGGGTCCCCATTGCCTCTCAGCAGGTTTCTGATCACACCTCCTGTATAGAGGAGAGAGAGGAATCCTGTGCACCATTCATTGCTCATGCACAATAGGAAGGCTCTTTGTAGTGTCTGAGCAGGTGAATCCTCACACATTGAGGCCCTCTACATGGAGGACATATGTCTTCACAGGTCCTCTTTGCACTGCTGCCTCAATGCTGTGATATGTTCATCACTCCAGTTCCATTGGTGTTATAACGTGAACCTGCTACCGCATTCCAGATTAAGTCCTACCATGATTTCCATGACACTAAATTCTGAGGTTTTTCTTTAATACCTTCTATTGTTTTCAACCTCTTCCGAAATCTCTAAATGTCTTTGTTTTTTCTGCTGTAATCCATCTGCCACAGAGTTTCTCAATCAGGTTTCCTCCAGAGGTTGCCAGGGGTTCCTTGAGCAAGGAGCAATTTTTGCCTCTCAGATAAGTTCTCTCTCTCACACCATTG